CTGGCTGTTTTTTTGTTATGTAGAGGTGCGTTCGTACATTGAAGCATTAGTTCCCATAGGAACTAATGCAAAGCTGGTTAATACGTACTCTACCACTAGGGGGAGAATTTTTTTTAACCTAAGATGACCTAAGGTTAAAAAAAGAGCAGGAAAGTTTTTTTTTCCTGTTCTTATCTTGGATTTCTGTTCTCAAGTAGAAGCAAAATTTAGCAAATGGAGCTGTTCTTAAGTGGAATTGTTCTTAAGTAGGGACGTTCTTAAGTAGAGACCCCACTGTACAAGCAATGGTTTCATATACGTAAATGGTGAATAGCAAAGGCAGGGTTGGCGCAAAAGATTTTGCTGCCAGAGGGGAAGTACTGTCATTACTACTCACTAGGGGCTTGGGAATCTGAGCTTTTGGATTACAGCTGGGGAATTCTGGGAGTTGTAGTAAAAAACACAAATCTACCAACAGTATTTCATTGAATCATAGAATAATTGAGTTGGAAGGGGTCTGTAAGGCCATCAATACAGAAATCCAAGTCAAAGCAGATCTATTACATGGCTGTCCAATTTTCTCTTGAATGTTTCCAGTGTTGGAGCACATACTACCTCCCAAGGTAATTGGGTCCATTGTCATACAGCTCTAACGGTTATGAAGTTTTTCCTGATATTCAACCTATATCTGGCTTCCTGTAGCTTGAACCCATTATTATGTATCTTGCACTCTGGGATGATAGAGAACAGTTCCCGCCCCTCCTTTGAATGATTACCTTTCAAATATTTGAAAGGTGCTATCGTACCTCCCCGCAGTCTTCTTTTCTCAAAGTTAAACATGCCCAATTCTTTCAGTCTTTCCTGCTAGGGCTATATTTCTACCACTTACCAATGTCAAGCCATCAATCATGTGAATGATATAAAGTGCCATATTTCTATTCCAACTTTTAATCCTACAGAGGTGACATGTAAACTCTGAGCAGTGGGTTGGAAAGTGTTCTGGGATAGATGAGTGTGAACAAAGAAAGAAAAAGTGGAAGGGTCGTATGGTTTGGGAAATCTCTCCATCCAATTGATTTGGAGTTACTGTCCCCCCTAAAGTAGAGGTGAGCACAAACTTTTAATCCTACAGAGGTGACATGTAAACTCTGAGCAGTGGGTTGGAAAGTGTTCTGGGATAGATGAGTGTGAACAAAGAAAGAAAAAGTGGAAGGGTCGTATGGTTTGGGAAATCTCTCCATCCAATTGATTTGGAGTTACTGTCCCCCCTAAAGTAGAGGTGAGCACAGCCAGAAGGCTTTCATCCATTCCCTGCTCTGTATTAAACCCTTCAGTCTCCTGTGAACCATAGAAGGCCATTCTCTTGAAATGAGAAGTGACTGATAGGCAAATTCCAGTTCTTACATTTTTGCTATTTTGAGCTACTTTGAATTGCCAAGCTTAGGACTAAATTTGTGCCAGCCCTAAACAGTTCAGTCACTTTGATATCACTTTTCAACTGCTGTGGCTCCAACTTAAGAAATCTTTAGGTTTGTAGTTTGGTGAGGTACTTAAAAATCTTTGCTGCAGTGCAGGCAGTGCACTAGAGCACTGTAGCAGAGTAACTGAAATATATCGCTGAAGTACAAATCCTATGATTCCTTAGGATGGAGTAATGAAAATTAAAGTGGTATCAATGCGATATAACTGTGTGGTTTCGTCTGCATCCAACATGAAGAAACAAAGCCAAAGTTGAATCTTAGCTTGGTTAGAAACTAGCAGTTTGAACTGGCCAAGAAATAATGGAAACCCCCCATTTACACCACTTTTACAGTGGTGGCTCGCTTGACGATGTTAATCCGTTCCAGCAAAATCGCTGTAGAACGAAATCGTCGTCAAGCAAAAGTAAAAAGCCCATTGAAACACATTGAAAACCGCTCAATGCATTCCAATGGGCGAAATACCTCCGCGTCCAGCGAAGATCCTCCATAGGGGGGCCATTTTCTGGTGCCTGTAAAGCAAGCAATCAGTCCTAAAACACAGCAAGGAGCCATTTTGCACAGCGGGCGGCCATTTTGCAACCTGCCGATCAGCTGTTTTAAAACCATCGTAATGCGAAGAATCAGTTCCCGAAGCAGGGAACCGATCATCGTGAAGCGAAAAAAGCCCTTTGAAACATCGTTTTATGATCACAATAGTGATAGCAAAAACATCATCGTGAAGCGTTAAACGGGGTAATCGTTAAGCAGGGCAGCACTGTATCTTGTTAATTATGAATGCAGTAAACACACAGTGATATTAAAAACAATCGTTAAGTGGGGCACCACTGTATCTTGTTAAATATGAATGCAGTAAACAGACAGTGATATTAATAATCTATGTTTTATGATCAAAAGTGACAATTTTTTCTTTCGTTTTCTTCACTAGATGATTTTATTAAAACACTGCAAGAATACCAAGTGGTCAGCCCAGCAAAAGTCAACGCAGACGGACATTTCCTCTCATACAGTTTGCACCACCGTGCCTCCAGCGTCAGAAGGAAAAGAGGCTTCAGGAGAAAGGACAGCAATGTGTATTACAAAATTAAGTACAAAGAAAAGAATCTCTTCTTTAACCTAACTTTTCATCATGGGTTGTTGTCTCATAATTACATTCTGGAACGGCGACATGGTAACTACAGTGGTGCAAGGATTGCCCCAAGCGTGGAAACGTCATGTCACCTCATTGGGACAGTCCTGCACAGTGACTCTGGGAATGGGAAGACAGCAATAAGCACATGTAATGGCCTGGTAAGTAATAGAATTACCTTGAAACATTTTTGCTCTTGGTGTTTCCAGGCATCTAGAAACCAAAATCTCCATCAAGTCAAGCAAAAAGCTTTCTTTAAAAAAATGTGCTGAGAACTGAAACAGTATGACCCCTTTATCTGTGGAATCAGTATTCACTGATTCACTTATCCACGGTCTGAAAATATTAAAAATATCTTTAAAAATCCTTAATACAGTATATATATTTTAATGAAATTATGAGAAGTGGCCACTGGAGGGAGCCAGAGACCATGCTATATTTCAACAGTGTCATTATCTGAAGTGGTCACTATAGGGAGCCATACTACAGTGGACCCTTGACTTACAGACAGATCCACTTACAGACTTTTCGAGTTACAGACTTCTCTGGCCGCAAAATTTAGGTTTGACTTGCAGCCGGAGAATTGATCTACAGACTGGGAAAAAAAAAACCCTAAATGGGACAAAAACGGCCAGTTACGGATTAATCGGTTTTCAATGCATTGTAGGTCAATGGAGCCTCGACCTACAGACTTTTCGACCTGTAGCCACCGTTCCAATACGGATTAATTCCGTAAGTCGAGGGTCCACTGTATATATAGTGCTTGCTATGATCTGCATTTTTCAGCATCTGTGGGGGCCCTTGGAACCGATCCCTCGCAGATACTGGAATCCTACTGCAGCTTTTTCTTAAAGTGCTTGTGGCCAAAAGTCATAGGCTGTTTGGGGAATTCAGGATAGTGGGATGTTCAAAAACACAAACCTATACACTTCTAATAAGCATCTGTGGGCTGAGATATGGGGCATTTTCCAATGAGGCTTCTGTTGTGTTTTTATGCGATACTGCTGATTGATGTTGTGATTATCCTGCCATCTGAACATTTTGACACCTTATCCTGTTCTTTTTCTTACCTATCCTTCCTGCTCCCTTACCACCCCCCACAACATAATGGTTCTAGTATTAATTAACATGTTGGAAGTCCCCGTCAGTGTTGTGCCTTTCGGACTTTCTGCTAGTCCGAATTGCAGATGTTCGTCAAGTAACCTCCTGGAGGTATGTTGGCTCCATCCCTTCATCACCTATTCTGCCTTGAAGTTTTGTTTAAGAGAAGCACCAGCATTCCAGAAATAACGTGGGGGGGGGCATCCAAGGGGCAATGAGAGGTTTTTCACATCCGGGTGGGGAAGGTTCTTACGGAGGCTCTTTTAAAAAGCACGAAATTCCAAACATGTGGAGAAAAACAGCAGAGGGAAGAAACCCATCTGATATACAGGATTTTGGGAGAAGAGCAATCTCATAACGTGACTTGTGGTGGGGCAATGAAAGTGGGGCTATTCTGAGTCAGTGGAGGATGGCAAGTCTTTCTACAGATATCCAGGACTATTTGTGGCTCCCTCTGCTTTATCCTAGCAACAATCCTAAGATGTAGGGCAGATTCAGAGGGTGTGACTACCCCAGGGTCAGTTATGAACTTCCATGATCAAGTGGAAATATGAGGTGAGGTGTTCCTAATTCTTGCCAAACACTGTGACCATCAGTGTAACCACCACATTATACTGAATGTGGGTTGTGTCTCATTCTTTCATGAAGTGTTGTTTCTCTGCTAAAGAGTGTGAGTTGGAAAGATACACAAAGAAACCTGATCTTATGTTGGTAGTGGTTGTAGAAGGGATAAAAATCACTTATATCTGGAGGAAGGAACATTTGGAATGGGGGGAAATGGGAAATCAAGTAGAGATATGCAAGGAAAGAAAGTTTTTTGAGAGATGGCAAAAGCAAGATAAACAAATAAAAGAACCCAAAACAGAACAATTGCACAATTATAGTTTAATAACATGAAATGGGAGGTGGGGAAATGAAGATGACACTGTTCTGAGTTATGGACCCCAAAGCACAGTACAGGTATTCAGAACTAACAAGCAGGGAAGCAGCCTTGTTGAATTGCCTATATGGGATTTTGTCAGGTATGGAAGAGATTTTAAATGGAAGGTTCCTATGATGACAACAGAAGCTAGACAATACATGCTCACAGATATCCTTCTGGAAATACCTGTGGAGAGAAAGGAGGGATGACAGCAAGGGGGAGGAGCCAATGGGTTCCCTCAGGACAGTGGTGTGGAGAAGATATAATGGCTGGTCACAACAGGACAGAATTCGAACAATAAAAATTTTATTTATTGTATATACTCGAGTATAAGCCGAACAGAATATAAGCCGACACACCCAATTTCACGACAAAAAATTGGGAAAACTTATTGACTCGAGTGTAAGCCGAGGGTGGAAAATACAGCAGCTACTGGTAAATTTCAAAAATAAAAATAGATGGCAATAAAATTATTTTCATTGAGGCATCAGCAGGTTAAATGTTTTTGAAAACACTGCCCTTCACTGCCTGTGGAGGGAGGACTCATGCCGGATGCTGCACTTATCTACTGCTCTACTGCTACGTAACAAGATGGAGGGGGATGGAGGAGGAAGGTGGGTACATAGAATATTCAGAAAGAGGAGGATGGGAGTGTCCCGAAAGCGCAAATGCAGTGTACTTAACCCAGGTCATCGGACCACCCACAGAGGCTTGCAGGTGCCTGTAGATGAGCGGGGGAGTCCGGAGAACACCCGCACTGCAGGGGAGAACATGTAATTTTGACACTGACTTGAGCATAAGCTGAGGGGTTGCTTTTTCAGCAAAAAAATGTGCTGAAAAACTAGGCTTATACTCGAGTATATACAGTAAATTAAAATAGCATAGCGATGGCTGAAGAGTGAAGGGAGCTTGCCATCTGGAAACACCCATAGTTGTACTAATATGATTTTACATGACTGCTTTATTTTGCTCCTTACAGGATGTTCGCAAGTGATTCCTATTTGTAACAAAGAAACAGAGATTAGGGACTCATATACATTTCATTATAGTACTTACAGTAGTATAACTCTGCCAAGTGGCTCAACATTAGTTAATATTTCAAAGTTTTTTTGATCCTAGGGAAGTTTGAAGACAAGAGTTTCAGAGTAATTTCAGGCCAATATATTCGCGAAGGCTTTCACGAAAGGCTTTCAGACCAGCTGGGATACCTGGCCCAGACCCTAACTGCACAGAGAGAGAGAGAGAGAGAGAGAGAGAGAGAGAGAGAGAGAAGGAATGTGAGAGGGAGGGAGGGAGGAAAGCTTGCTGCAATTTGCAGAATCCAAACCAAGAGTATGTTATCCATCCATAGTCCTCTCTTATGCCTGCAAAGCAAACTATGCTGATGTAAACATGTCTGGAATATTTCCCTGGCCTCCTGCTCCCGCCCCATCAGTGTGGAATGAAAACTCTTTGCTCTGGAAACACTGCTGCCCTGCAAAATATCCTGGAACTGTTCGAAGGCAATTTTGGAAGCAGACCTAGTGTTGTCCTGTGAGCACATGAAAGGATAATGAAAACTGTCTGGACAACTTAAATTGGGTTTCCTTAAAAGTGCTATCCAAGTGCTGTGGGAAATGCTAAACTGTCAAAGATTTAAGCCCAAGGAAGGTGATAGAAATGCTAAACTGTCAAAGATTTAAGCCTAAGGAAGGTGATATACGTATCTACTGGATGTATATGAACAAGGGTGAGGACTCACAACAGTCTTCCCAGCATCCAAACTGGAACCAACCCAAGGCATTTAGCTGCCTGAGATGAAAAACAAGGCAGTGTTCTTCCCTCTTCCCAATTCCAAAAGGAAACTGGAGGCCTACAAATGTTGACTACTTCTTCATATTATATAGAAAGATCTTGAAATTGTTTATCTACTGGATGTATATGAACAAGGGTGAGGACTCACGACAGTCTTCCCAGCATCCAAGCTGGAACCAACCCAAGGCATTTAGCTGCCTGAGATGAAAAACAAGGCAGTGTTCTTCCCTCTTCCCAATTCCAAAAGGAAACTGGAGAGCCAATTTTCTGATCGAGCTGGAGATCATTGTGAGCCTTTGTAGCCCTCCAGGCCTACAAATGTTGGCTACTTCTTCATAAAAACTGTTCTTGAATCTGCTTGTCCTGTGAGTATGAATATGCACCAATAGTGTGATGTGGCCGCAAAAAAAAGGGGCAAATGCTGTGCTGCTTGTCCTGTGAGTATGAATATGCACCAATAGTGTGATGTGGCCGCAAAAAAAGGGACAAATGCTGTTTTAGGACGCATTAACAGAAGTATACTCTCCAAATCCTGCGAGGTACTGGTCCTTCTCTGTTCAGCCCTTGTTATTCCTCATCTAGAGTACTGTGTACTGTTCTGGACACCACATTCTAAGAAGGATGCCAACAAACTGGAACAAATTCAGAGGAGGGCAACTAGGATGCTCAGGGAGCTGGAAAGCAAGCCCTATGAGGAAAGAGTGAAAGAACTGGACATGTTTAGCCTTGGAAAAAGAAGTCTGAGGGGAGATATGAGAGCACTTCTCAAATACTTGAAAGGTAGTTGTACAGAGGAGAGGTAAGATAATAATTTAGGTTGAGTATCAGGAAAAACACCTTAGAGCAGTATAATAATGGAACCACATACCTCGGGAAGTGGTAAATACTCCAACACTGGAGGCATTCAAGAGAAAATTGGACAACCATCTGTCAGATCTGCTTTGATTAAAAATGTGAATAAAAATAAAATAAGATTCCTGCATTGAGCAGGGGGTTGCACTCAATGGCCTTGTAGGCCCCTCCTATCTCAATTATTCTATGATTCTAGGATATTCATATCATAAAAACCTCTCATGCCTAGGCACAGCAAGGGGAATACCCGCGCCGCCGATTTCCCTTACATTTGAGACTTTAACAACTCAAGTTGTTAAGAAATACAGTGATTACTTAAACAGTTGATAAATATAAATGTATGAAAGGAAAACGATTAGACTTAGCCCAGGGAGAGAGCCGTTGCTGCCTTCCCGTCCTAGAAGCTCGATCGCCCTTTGACCCGGCCAGAAATGACAGCCCCGCAGCCACTCTCCTTCTCTCTCAAATGCCTGAAAAGAAGAGGGCGGTCCT